TGTGAGGTAAAATATATAAAGCTCCTTCATGTTGGGAACTCAAGTTTAAGCTACTTTCCCGTATCAACTCCATGAAAGTTCTGTCACAGTATAGGATTAAAATTAAACACTGTAAGAAACAGAATAAATATTCAAAATAAAAGATAAGCACTAAACAGGTTTACAGCTACTTAAAATGAAGAATATGGAATATAACACTTTTTTGGAGAAAGGGAAGGGAAATCTTAATGATTCCATAGTATCAAGATTAATTAATTGAGCCAGTTAATATACTTTAAAAGAAATCTTTGGGAGGGAGGTGCATAGCTCAGTGGTAGAGCACATGCCTCGCAAGCATGAGGTCCTGGGTTCAATCCCCAGTACCTCCATTAAAAACAAACAAACAAACAAAACAAAAAAAAACCCAAATATAAGAAATCTTTGACATTTGGGTAAAGTATCAAGAAAACAGAAAAATAGTTATTAAAATAGAACATAACTATATAGTTAAAAAATTACTTTCATGGGGGGAGGGTTTTTAGCTCAGTGGTAGAGCGTGTGCTTAGCATGCACAAGGTCCTAAGTTCAATCCCCAGTACCTCCATTTAAAACAATCAAATAAATAAACCTAATTACCTCCCCTGCCAAAAACAAAAACAACAACAAAAAAATGACTTTCATGTTATTAACAAAATTATTCCACATGCTTTAAAATTTTCAAATTCTGTAGTTATTATTGAAGTCACATAGGTTACTTTATACTAAAAAGTAAAAGATTTGGGGAACAAACCATTAAAGTATGGCTACTTCTAGGTAAAAAGAGAACCAATATAAATTAGACTTGTAGGTAATCTCAGAAGTTCCAAATGTGAAAGGTAAACAATGGGGGGAAAATTTTTCTTTTAGAAAAAATAAAACATATTAATAGATATGAGATAAACCCATAAGGTTTCCTTTTTCTAAGCATCTAAGTTCATTTGCTTCAGAAAACATTGTTTTTCTTCATAAGCATAGAAGTTTTGCCTCACAATGATTCTAGCAAAAGTATGTAACTTGCAGCCACCTCAACTTCATGCACAGAAGTGGGAAACTCAACTGTCAGTGTTCACCTGCTTAGATACTGAACTGCCAGACCTTCCTTATCACTGGATCTCCTCCTGAACGTGCAACCCTTCACGGGCCTTTTTAAGTCATCAGGCCCAACTCCATGGGTCAAAACTACACTCTCAACATTTAGAGCCTTAGTGTTGAGCAATTTGTTTAAATTTATTCAAGTACCACATGTCAATGCTGAGCCCTTACCTTGACCATTACAATTAAAGTAGAATTTACTTTGGTATAAAGTATGCACTCCATTGATCTGTTTACTTCCTCATTTGATTTTCACAATGGTTATACTGTTGTCTTACCAGTATATGTCTTTTTTCCACCAATTTGAAATGCCACCCATCATACATTGAATTCTTCTATGAATTTGGCACTGTTTCTAAACATTGTTTTATTTCATTGATCTACACATATGCCACTATCATAATTTTGAAAAATTACTGTATCTTTATAATGTTTCCCATTACTATTCTTTTTCAAAATGTTCCAGAAGAGAGACTGACTTCCAGAATGGTGGAGTGAGGACTTTGGTGACCTCACTCTCCCTCTCAAACAATGAAAATATGTGCGAAACAACTAAACAATTAATATCAACCATTTCAGCACTTTGGCAATTAACCAAAACCTAGTACCTATTGAGAAGTATCTATTCAACAGGAACAACTGAATCCTGGAAGACAGTGAGCTCTGCAATGTTTTAATGTAAGGTTATTTCATCTCCCTTCTCTCCCAAGCTCAGTAGCATGGTAGCCAAAAGTCAACAGAATTGCATACAACAGAGCTCTATTAAAAGTACCATCACCCCTGGTCACCAAAATGGCCACCGAAAATGGATTAGGGAACCCTAAGACTCTGTCCCTCCCCAAAAGCAAGTAATAAGCTGCCAAAACTGTCAGAATCAACTTCTGAAAAACTCTGGAATACAGTCAAAAACTTACAACAACCAGGGGAAGGCCTACCATCCCCACACCCCCAAGAGGCAGCAGCTAAGAGAACAGCAGCCAATACTTCTGGTGCAAATTGCTTGGAAGCAATTTTTGTCAAAGATTTGTAATTGTGAGTCTCAACTTGTCTGGCAGCTCCTTTCAAGGACTGGTACAAAGGCTTTCCTTGTTTTGCCCAATTCTGAGCATTCCCAGAACTAGGACAGGTTCCTAAGTGGCTTCTGCTGAAAATGTTTAAAGGTGCAGGTACTGGTTGCAACAGCTGGTACAAGAAACAACACTTGGGGCAAGCAATAAACAGACCAAGAACCTGGAGAAGGAAGGGGTTGGGAGAAGAGATAAATGTGGGAATGAGAGTTTTTAAAAGAGTCTGCAGATAGCAGGGAATTAAGAAAGCCATGCACAAGCCCAAGAGTAGCACACATGCTCAGAAAAAGCCTGAGAAGACTAAACTTTCACATCTAGCAGGTCTTCTGGTTCCATACAAGTAGGAAGTTAGAGTGAAGGTAGGGAGCTGTAAAAGACCTGGATAACTGTTAAGGGAGGACTCCAACACGAAGCCAATCTGCAAACACTGGGAGAGCTTTTTTTTTTTCTTTCGTCATCTTCAAATCTGTCAAAACACCAGTTACTATTAAGCTAACAGAACAGATGCTTAAGTGGCCACACATGACAAAGAATATAGGACTTTACAAAAACAGTTTAGAAAAGACAGTAAAAAGCAAACAACAACAACCCACAACAGGCAATAAGAACAAATTCTGAGGAAGGTAAAGAATATGATTTCAAGAGTTGCCTTCCACAGGTTGTGCCCCTCCAACAGAGGCTGGATCTCAGCCCAGGAGCATGGGATCTTCCTTGGGTGACCTGTCACAGCCCTAGAGTTGGTGACTGCTCCTTATACCTTCTATTCCTGTATTCTTTATAGTTCTCTTTACTTCTGATTAGCTAATCTTTCATTACTCTAATCCCTCAATAATTCTTTATATTAAAATTTCCCTATTTAAATATGTGTGTTCTCTCTTCTGATTGCACCCACACTGATGAAGACCTTTAGAAACACTAATCAAGAAAAAAGGGAACATACATATATTCATTTTCATATTTTTTTCACAGTAAGTTACTATAAGATATTGAATAGGTATGTTCACGTATGACTGAAGCATTATGCTGTACACCAGAAATTGACACAACATTGTAAAATGACTATACTTCAATAAAATATACATATATTATACATATATATATACATATATATACAAAAAAAGAAAAATGAGAGAAGGTATTAACAAGGAAAATGACATTAAAATATACACAGAATATTTGGTAATAGTACATGAAAAGAAACAAAAGGCATTAGGACTTGAAAAGAATAAAATTGTCATTAATCTCAGATATTAAGATAAACCATTAGGGCTAATAAGGAAATCTGGCAAGCATAATGACTATAATAAAGTCAACATGCAAAAATCAACTGTATATATAAGTAACAAACAAAAAATGAAATTTAAAAATGATACCATTTATGATAACATTAAAAAATTCACTAAATACCTAGGAGTAAGTTAAATAAAAGATACACAAGATCTCTACATTGAAAAGTAAAAAAAATTCCTGAAAAAAACTGAAGACCAAAAAGTGGGAGGGTATTCTTCCATATTCATGGATTGGAAGATTCCATAATATTGTGGACAAGGAGTGTCACCTCCCATTCCAATAGACAAAGAATGGTGCCTGCCAGCAAGCCATCAGCCATACAGCTGCAAACTGCCCCCATACCCTGCCATGCTGCACCCTGAGGGGAATTCAGGATGGAGAAAAACAGGATATTGGCCCTAGCCAGTAAAGATGTGTATCTAAGGAATAATTTCAATGAGCCCAGACTCTTGCATCTTCCAATACATAAAAAAGCACTAAAACCACTAACTTGAGATGCCTGACTTTTGTGATGAGCAGTCAGCTTTTGATGTTCAACTACATGGTTTTTTTCTCAGCATAAACTCCTATATATACTGGCTCCTCCTTTACCTCTTCAGAACAGTTCCTCAGAGCTATCTAAGAGACTGTCTCTCAGGTTATGGTCCTCAGTACGGTCCCGGAAAAAAACATAACTCACAACTTTAAGGTTGTACATTTTTCTCCAGTCGACAAAATTTAAAGGTAACTTTACATACATCAAGTGACCTACACAGTCACCTGGTTTATGATAAAGGTAATGTTACAGTACAGTGGAAAAAGGATGAACTTTTCAATAAATTATCCTGGGTCAACTAGACAACCACATGGGAAAAAAATGAATGTTAACCCTCTTCCTCACTCTTAACACAATAATAAATACCAAATGGATTATAG